AAGGCAGAGTTCTGTTATACGCCGGAAAATTCGCAGATGTACCAGATGCAGCAATAGGTCGATCCCAGCTATACTTGGCAGAAGTGTCTTTTTTAAGACCAGAGGCAGAGCTTCCAATAGAATGCCCAGGGGTCCTGTGAGCACGACCACGGCTGAGAGAGCGATCACTCTTAGAACGAGGCCGACTCGATGACCGCCGTTCGCGACTCAGAGAGCGACTTAAAGAACGGCTGGAAGCCCGAGAACTGATGCTACGAGAACGTCGGTCCTGGACACGGACTTGCTGATGAGATGCTCGTTGCGGCGATCCCGAACTGACGATAGAGACAGAACTAGAGCTTTTTCGGGTATGCCCAAAATGGGATGAATTTTCGCCACTTCTTTGAGGACTTGAGTTTGATGGACGCCGGTGCCGTTCACCCCAACCTGCGTTAGGCCTATAATTGTCGTTCCGCGTATATGCATCTCGATAAGAGGCCATTGAACGATAGTTGTCACCGCCGTGAGTATGAGAGTACCATGCACCGGGATGATAGGAATTAGGGGTTCGAGGTTGAGGGGAACTTGCTACATGTTTTTCATGTGAAAATCGCGCGCTGGGAAGCCAAATTTAAAATCAAAATATAAACCAACGAATATAGAAACTTGCCTGTCAGGTCGAGACGATCGATCTACGTGCGTTTGCTTCCAGGTGTCGGAAGGTTCAAACATTCTTGTCGCAAGCAAAGGGTCTCTCCAAGCCTTTGAAGTTGACGCGGTCGGGGAGTTGGTGTCCAGAACAGGATCCTCCCAAGGAGAGGAACCATTCCATGCCTCAGATGTCCCCCAAGGTGGATAGCGAGGATAATGGTCAGGGTTTGGAGAACGACTGTAATACGGATCAGCATCTTCGTGTCGGTAGTTACTGGGCCTGTAGTTGTTCTCCTGGGAGTAAGAGCCGTCATAAGTCGAGTATCTACGACTGGGTGATTCCTGGCGTCGATCATAATAGTCTCGCTGCAAAAAAAAGAAGGTCAGTTAACGAGCATATTAAAGAAGCTTGAAACTCACATCTACCCATGAGGAGCTGGTAGACGGTCGCCACGAAGCTGCATGGCCATAGGATGAGGATTGATGCGGCCCGTCATAACCCCCATCGGATGCCATTTAGTTAAAAAACGGTAGGACAGTCGTTTGAAGGAACAGTGGACGAGAAACGATGCGGGAGTAAGTGCAGACTTTGTAGGATAATTGGCGATACAAGATGAGTGAGTATCTGGATACAACAGTGGATGAGAGATGTCCAAGAACAAGTCAAAGTACCAGCCACAGCTCAAATTTGCAATTGTTTATTTCACAACGGCATCAATCAACATTGTGACCCGAATTGATATCCTATTGTCACGGCCCATTCATCGTCACGCCATGCCAGACGATCCTTCACAGCTATTCTTCCAGTCCAACTCTGTTCGAAGGTCCATAATAAAAGCATATTGGATTATAATCATACTCGCTCTTCCACTGTGGTGGCACACGACCAGTATCCAACGTCTTTCCTTGCCTTCATCTCGTCTTCTATCACAAACACAGGATGGCCTTCGTATTCCTGTGAGAATTAGGCTTCCAGCAGGTTTAGATCGACAAGGATTGCAGAAACATATTGATTCCATTGCAAAAGGAGCCCCCAGTCACTGGGAGAGGCTCAGTCTCGAATTTTCAGAAAACATCGAGCGTACGTTTATCTTGGAAGTCTGGCCACTTGCCACATTCTTCTGACGAACTTCTCAGAGAATAGCGGCGGTTCTGGGAGTAGAAGCGCTCAGTTCTGGAGCAAGTCTCGCGATGATGACGGTTCCTACACTGTGTATGACAGTGAAAGCATCTCTCTCTCTGCAAGGCACTTGTCATTTCCGACTGTGAGGCTTTCTTACCTCTCAACTGCTTTTTCTTACTTTAAATACAAATAAAGGCATCCTTGTCAGCCCTTGCAGATACATTGAGTCAACTCATTGCTCCACAAGTTGCAAACCATCGTGTCGCCCCATATTCCCCTCGATATCGACTATCATTCACGCTTCTCAATGAAGACGCTGCTGCAGGAGGCTCATTCCTTGAGTGGGACGTTTTGAACGCAATATCTCGTCAGTTTGAGTATCGTTGTTGTCATTGTTCACGATTTGACCGAATCTAGATCACATACAGCCAAAGCTTTCGCAATTAAAGGAGCTTCATAATTTTACGATCGAAAGTCAAGTCCAGCTTCATGCACCACTGGCATTTTCCCCGCGCCTCGCCAAGTCTGGGTTTGGTATCGACCCGGAGGACCTAACGGTTTTCGTTAACTCCGCTGAGTGGACTCTGTGTCAGTCTTCACTCCGTCATTGAGCGCCTCTCCTGATAAGTAAGCTAGCGTCGAGTGCTTCCAATGATCCCGTTCTCCATTTCGTGGTTTTTGTTCCATCCAAAAATCGACGACCCCTCCATATTTTGGATCAATCAGGTTTGCAGTTGCGCTCAGTCACACTTGCAGTTAAGCAAACTCAAAATTTTAGGCGAAATCCATTCTTCGACCTCTTTTCTTCTTCCTCAGTGGGGTAGTATTGTCATATTTAATCCTGACGAGACATCACAGTCCACAAAACTGGCATCATCTAGCCTGGATTCTGTCTTTGCGTCATTTTCTGACCATCTTCTTGCACTCCTTGGCATTCCGGACCTGCCACCAAGCATACCAAAAGGCTCAAACAAGGTCACCAAATGGCAACTCGATGCCTTGCTCCGTTATCGGACGCTCAGCAATGCAGAGCAGTCTCAGGACACTCTGCGCAGTATCGTAAGCCTGGTAGATCGAATCGAAAACATGCCTGTAGGACAGGATGTGCGTGGGGACGTTGAAGACGCTCTGTCCGCCCTCGAAGAGGTTAGTCTCGGCCATTTCCTGTGCATTTCTCGCCGGTCGTAAATATTTTACCAGTTGCTCAAAACGTCAAATCAATCTCTCCGCCGCACATTCGCTCTCTCCGCCCGCGCTTTTACCCTGTCATCGCGAGCGTTTTTTAACCCCGGTATGCTGGCCATGCTTTATTTCCCCGCAGAGCATAAGTATGCTGTATATACCCCGCTATTTGCGAGTGCGGTCATCCCTCTATTCGTTGCTGCCCTCAGAGAGATTGCAGCGTGGCGACGACAGAGAAAGGAGGCTGCCTCGCAACGACAACCAACAGATTCCACAGGCCAAAAATAGG